GCCCGTGCAGGGTCAAGGCCACCTGAGGCTTTCTCTGGGACTCCTGCAGGGGGCAGTGTGAGGGAGGTGGGAGAGAGGGCGATCCCGATAAAATCAGCCCGGAATCCCCAGCCAGACCAGGTCGCGGAACCCCCAAAGCCCCTGGGTTGCTGCTGAATTCCAGGCAACTGCAGCCGAATGCTCATCATGTGAAATGGCACCTCCTTGCTGAGGCCTTCTAGCATCAGCCTGCTAAGAACCGCACGCCCCCAGCTCACCCTGTACCCTAGTTCTGCCCCATATTCTCCAGCACATTGCCCCTCCCCACTTGATAGACATTTACATTATTTATTGCCTGCACAGAGGCGCTTAAAAAGTATGTGCTGAATAAGCCAGATTTTCAGTGTTCACAGCAGCCCTGGGAGGCAGGAGTGGACATTGTCCCCATTCTCCTATGCGAAAGCTAAAGCTCAGGGAGCTGAAAAGCCCAAGGCTGAGTGTGTGAGTGTGTGTGTGCTTCCGCAGGTGTTTTGTGTGTGTGCAAGTGAACATACATACATGTAGATTCCTATCACTCCTTCCTCCCTTTTTTACTTCATCTGGCTTTTTTGGGTGCTCACTGTATTTTGGAGATCATTCCATAGCTAGTATATTTCATCCAGCTTCTGTGTTGCTTTTTGTCATGCAGCATAAAATATACCTTTCTGTTAGTAGAGCATAAAAGCCAATACCGGAGAGTACACGATCACTACGTGTGAAAGCATTAATACATAATGTTCCATAGTGGTTTTTTGAAGTAATTGAACATTTGAATTTGCGAGTAAAGGTAATATATTATGGTTGAAGGTTTAAGCAGGTTTTGGATTATATTTCTTATTTTAAGTTGAGGTAACATTGGTTTATAGCACTATACAAGTCTCAGGTGTGCAGTTTCTCACTTCAGCAACTACATATGCCGCCCCACACCCAGGGTCCAGGCCCCTCCACCCCACACCTAGTCCCTCCACCCCTCCCCTGCTCCTCTGGCCGCTCTGTCATCAGAGTCAACGACCTTGCTTGTTTGAATACCCTACGCTCTGAGAAAGCCCTTTCTGGCCTAATTGCCTTCTACTGGGGTCCTTAGGGTGACCTATGCCCAACTGCTTACTCCACCCCTCGAGGGGTGCTGTGGGTACCTGACTCCTCTGGTGTCATGCTGCCTCCCCGGAGACATTAAAGGTACAGGCATGGGAGGCTAAATGGAGCTTCATCCCACCCTGTGCACCCCAAATGAGAAGACACCTGAGGGGTGGAACCCAATAAGCACCCCCCTCCTGCTGTTCTGTGCTGTGACTCCCCAGACAGGTGTGCAGGCTCGCGGAGGGCAGGTGGGCAGGGAGAGAGAAGCCCCGTCCCTCTGTAGGGAGGCCAGGGAGCCGCAGCCTCAGATGCAGCACCCAGCACCTGCCTCCCAGGAGGCTTGAGGGGGGTACCAAGGCTGAGCTGTGGGGAGGGTCTGGCCACCCCACACACCGTCTCACCCACTCCTGTTTGAGTGCCTTCCAGCCATTTTGTTCAAAAAATTGTAGAGCAGAAAGTTGTGTTCACTGAAAATAAAGTCTCGGTGCTGGTGAGACAAGAGTTTACTAGATAAGCAAAATGAGGAGCAAGGTGGGAGCTAGTTGAGAGACGGGAGCCGAGACAGTGCCGTAAACACACGTTTGCAAGCAGATTCTGTAGGTAGCAACCGTGAGGGACTCTGAGAATGAGGCCTTCATGGGGGGGGCTTTAGCTCTGATGCCGGAGAGAGAATCCTTGGCTTCTGCTGAGAACACCGTGCTGCCTGTCTCCCGGACCGTCACCGGTGGGCAGGACTGGCTTTTACTCAGGCTCCTGCGCACAGAATGGGGCCGCAGAGATGGCTTTGCCCTCGTGCCTGCGGACCAGGCTCTGGGTCCCCAGAAAATGGGGCAGCGTGTTCACAGTCGGGGGGTCATCGTCACCCGACCTGGTTTTTGTACCCGAAGTCCTGTGTCCTGGGTAGGGACGGTTGGCCCCGCCCGGGCCTGGGTCACTCTTGGTCTTGGTGAGTCTGGTGCCCGGAATCCACAGGCAGCTCTGTCCAGCCGTGAGCAGCAGCTGAGTTTCCTAAGTCTCGCCCACCGCCGCCGCGGG